AATTTCAAAAAAAAAAAAAAAAAAATCGAGAAACATAGAACCTAGCACAGAACCAGACTTAAAAGAGTTATGTACACCTACAAACCTTCAGACAAATGCCAACGAATGCTCGAGAGCTGGTTCTCGTGCTCTGGAAACGATTCTTTCTGCTTTTCATCAATCACTGTGGAAACCATGAAGATTTGATTTCAAGAGTTATGCATCCTAGAGATAAAAAGGAAAGATGAAACGAACATACAGATTACTGTTATGTCAGCTCCATTGTTCTTTGCCAAAGCAGCAGTAGTAGCAATAGCCTGTTAAAAATATGGATCCAAAGCCACCTTAGAACTTGAAATCCTTGGGTACATGAGAGTTGTTTCAGCACAGAAGAAGAGATCAATCATGAAATTCTACTCAGCAACGTCTAATGAATACGCCCTAACAATTATAATAAACAAAATGACGCTAGAAACCGACGAATGGTCACCTGTCTCGTTCCCTCTGAAAGAAAAGGATTGCGATCAGTTATTGGAAGCAGCAGGTGTTTGAATTCAGTGAAGGAGCCGGCAACTACTGTTGCTTCCGAATCATGTGGCTTGGCTTTCACTGATATCAAACAAGTTTCAAACTATGTTATGTAAATTCAATGAGCTCATAGAAGGTTCAAGCTTCACTTGCAAAACAAAAAAAAAAAAAAAAAAAAAAAAGAATTTTTACTTCCTAGAGTTATACCTCCCTCGTTGGGAAGGTCTTTTGTAAACACCATGGATTATACATCCCTTTTGTAAATTTGTAAATTTCAATCATCAATGAAATTGTCACTTATCAAACAAAAAAAAAAAAAGTGAACTTACTAAGAACGTTTCAGAGATATAAAATTCAACACAATGTTAAAGGTTCACTATCTCATTCTAGAATTCACCGCCAATCTGCTTTGAAGTTGCTCAAGAGTTGTGTACAACAAAATTGTCAACAAAAGGAGTAAAATTCAATCAGTACATAAAAAGGCAGAATACTCCCTTATTCCACACGTCCCTAAGAAACAAAAGTTACAAAGATAAGATTCCTCTTCAGAAAAAAAAAATTACAGAAGAACTTTGATGCAAAGAAGCAAAAAGAAAAATGGGTTTCGATAAAAAGGCGTAAAGGGAACCCATAGTATACAATTTTCTTTTTCTTCTGCCATGGCGCTTATTATACTTCGGTCCTCACTTTTATTTATCCTTGAATAAGTCTGAAGTCAAATTTTAATTAAAATTTGCACTTGATAATAGGAAAGTGAGTGAAACCTACCATAACACACTAAAGGTAGTTCAATTATCCACTACTTGATCTTAACAAGAATCTTAGCATCTGGATCCAATCGTTACAGTTTTAAAGGCCAAAAATGTGTTTCAAAATCCAGTTCCTGAATAGAATTGATTCCAAATTAGATCAATATAGCCATCAATTCACAGCATGAGCTCACAAGTGTCAGTAGCAGAACAAAATCGTCCTCCAAAAATACTGAATCACAAACCAAGACATTAATCAAAGAAATGAAGCGTCACATAACCCTACATTCGCAACAGAACCAAAAAAGAATCTACCACCACCCGATAAACTTAAGCGCCATACAATCGGAGAGCAACAATACAATTTACAAAAAAATGAAGCAAAGGAGAGAGTGGGACAGTGAGAGGCAAATCAGATGAAATACGAAAAATAAATAGATAGAGAAACATACCGCGATGGCCCGTTTTGCAGCAGAGAGTGGAGATTGGGAGATTAAAATCACCGCGCCGACGAGAAGCGGAATTAAACGCGACAGTGAAAGAACATTGAGTGGAAGAAGAAGAAGCGAAAATTGAAGAAGTGGGATGCTTCAAAGTCTCGAGAGGAAGAGGGAGCAAGCAGCGAGCAAACGCCATAGCTGGAAGAAGAAGAAGAAGGTTGGAACTTGGGAGGTGTTT